ATGCTTGAAGTTTTAATAAATCTATTAACGCTATTAATGTTGCCCCTGAGCTCAGTAACTACTGGATTAGTCTTGGCAATGAATGCCTGCAGGCAAGAGATATGATCCTGGAAAGGACTTTTGTCAGAATTTGCTCTTAAATCAAAACTTTTGCTTTTTTTTTTTTTTTTTTTTTTTTTTTTTTGTTTTCTGCTGTCTGGTGAGGTACAAATCCCAAATGAAGCATTCCCTACAACTGTGAGCGTCTATTTCCAGTGTAGATTATCTTCATAGTACAAAGCAGATTGTTTCTTCAGTTCCAGGGTAATTATCTGAGAGAGTCCATCCCAAGACTTGAATCCATGCTTCATTATTGGTCTCAGAATTGTTCTACTGCTGGTTTTTATCATCCATCTCTTCTTTAAAGAATCATTAGTCATTAAACCACTTGCTAGTTAAATACATCCCACATCACTGCATATATGCACTGCTCTTGTCAAAATGTTTGGGAGCTGGCAGCTCTTCAGAGAAGTATTTGAGAGAAACAGAAGGGCCTCTCTGTTTAGTTGTGTTTATTGATTCCTTTAAAAACTCCTGCAAAACATCTCCTACAGTTTAGAAATTACAGATTTAGCAAATTAAGCTCTTTCCCATGTATATGACAATGAATATTAATTACAAAAGCAGATGTTTTTGAGAAGAACGTTTGCCTTCATTTCCAAAGCTTGATTGTATATTCAATACACAAGACACAAGCTTTACTTTGCATCTATTTTTTATGTTGAAAGGTTTTAATTTAATAATTTTTTAAAAAAAGTTCCTAATTTTTAATAAGAAAACCACAACAGTCTGAAAGACAATCACCTACATTTTAAGACTAGGTTATATTCTCTGATTTTCTGTGTTGAAAATATGTCCTATTTTCACCCAAATTTTTGTTTTGGGATGGAGGTACTTTGTGATGTATTTTTGTTGTTTCAGCTCATTCCATCAATACTGAAGTTGATTCAGCTTTGATGGAAACTACCTTTTAAAGGAGCCAGGATGCTCTTTTTTTCCTCTTGTTTTGTCATTTACCCAGCATATATGTGCTGTGCATTTTTTCATTGTTGGTGATAGTGCCTGCTACAAGTTCTGTTTCAACCCATTCTTGTATCAGTGACTCTGTCTCTTGCCTATGTTCACTTTTGTTGCCACAAATTTCACCTCATAGAAGAAAATTCCATGAGAATGGAAATCAAGTGTCTAGGTACCCCAGTCCTTAAAATTATACACAGTGATAGCAGTGATTAATGCTGTGAGAAAATAAAGGTAGGTAAACGTCTCTCAAAGCAAACCAAGCCAAGTAGGTAACAACATTCTTTAAAAATGTGTGATGCTTCCATTCAGGAAAACAAACAAACCTGCATAAATTAGTTAGAGAATGCTTATTCCAAGTGGCATAACTTCTAGATACAGCCTTATTCTCTCCCATTTCATCCCTTTCTTTAGGGACAAGAGCTGGTTCTATGATTATTTTTTAGTACAGTGGGTACTGCTGCAGTCTAAATTATATAGATGTAATTGCAAAAATCGTTCTTACTGGGGTAATAAACATATGCTCACTATATTTTTCACACTGTTTTCTACTATTTTTAATGAAAATCATGTTTGTCTCCAGCAAACAGGCAATGAAGTATAGTGCCTGGAGAGGTTTGTATTTTCAGCTGAAGTAGCAAGGCTGAGACTTTGGTATTAAGCAATCTTACAGACCAGGGCCATGGSGTGTATGTTCCTTGATTACAAAAGCTTTGGTTTTCTGAGTTCAGATATTAGGATAAGTCATGGAGGGAAACAATTACAAAATCGATGGTAAATAGTTCAGGAAATACTGTTTTGAAATGGATTTGGAATTGGATATGAAGCCAGTGTTAGAACATGAAGGAGCAATGATTCTGTTTGTCTCATACCCAAATGGACTTAAGGACGTATTTTAAACTACTGGGAGTTTCCMCACAGACTTTGGAATTTTTTCCATGTTTGAGATGCTTTGGTAAAATAGCTTAAGGAGTTTGTAAGGAATAACTTACTTGGGAGAAAATGAGAAGGGCTATAATTCTACGGATGAAGGATCTGTCTAACCATATGCCCCCTCACTATGGCAATTCTTGCTGGCATTGTTTGGGAAAATCTTGTGAAAACTTTCAAATCTTCGGCACTTTGTGGCTGAAGAAACTCCTGAGAATGAAGTGATGTATTTTCATGTAAGAACTATAAATTACTTTTACATCTTTAACTTCAGTGGCTTTCTGAACCCGTGCAAGCTTTTAGCGTCAATAAATATATCCACAGGTCTTGTCTTGGAGGAAATGTACCTGAACACACTCATGCACAGCCGGTGCCCATCCTGTCCCTAGACATACTCCTGGAGGTAAAACTGACCAAAACAGCAGATACAGTCCTGAGTGGACTGTCTGCCAGGTCCAGGCAATCAGTGGTTTCTTGTTTACTCCCTTTCTCCCCTTATTATTTAGTGGTTTGCCTTAATATTTTATTGATACAGATTGCATTATGGTCTATTGTTATTATGTAACCAACTCCTCTTTAAAAAATCGTTGGTATTTGAAGTCCTCAATAACTGTTCAGACCGTGTGGAAGGCGTCGCTTACATACAATTCTAGAGACACATTAGTTCTCTTTTGCCTACCTGGAAAGGAAACAAACTTCAGTAATCTAAACAGAAACCATCCTTTCCCCTCCTTCAATACTTTCTTGATAACGCAGTCAAGAAATTACACAGGAAGAACCATCTGAACATGAATTCCCGAGGAAAGAAAAAGTAATGTCTCATATTCTAGCAATGTGAGAATAAGAATTCAAGTGGGGGGATGACGTTTGTTCCAATATGTCAGGTTTTTTTTTCATTTGCATATCAGATCAGATATTAAAACAAGATTTTTTTCCCCATTTCCTTTTAACTTGGTGTACTATGTCTGAATATTGATACAAGACACCAGTTTTTTCAGAATGTATGTTAGACTCCTTGCCTCAGGGAATTTATTGTGTAATGGAACTAGCAGCATATTAATGTCTTTATAGAAAGCAAGTATAATAAGGATTTGACTGTAACCTGAGAAGTGCACACTTCTCCTTCTCTATTCTTTAAAAAAACCACCTACTTCTGTAATTTTCTTGCCTCTTCATTTTTGATAATCAGGTATTTTAAAAAGCCCTCATGTACTGCTATTAAATTCATACAATGAGTAGTCTGTGATGCAAAGAAGGTATTTAATATATTTAAGTGCTGATTCCACTGTTGGCCCAAACTGTGCYCTAATACAGTGTGGACACAGCATTTTACTCTAAGGCCACCAAAGGTTAAAAGTTACTGTAAGCTCTGTCCCATGAGTATCTCTGACAGGAATTCCTGTTTACATTATGARTAGAAGGAATTGTTGAAAATGATTGTTTTTTTATTTGTAACTGGCAACTCCTTTAAGTTCTCAGATCTCAGAGATCAGCATTTTTGTGTGAGAAATAATGGTGGACCTCTTGATTAATTTCATTTTAATCAAAGAATTCAGGAGACACAGGTACCCCGACTGGAAACTAGCTAGTCCACAGAACATTTAATTCTTCTCAAATAATTCTGTTTTTACCAAGTGCTTTTTTTAGGCTTCTACCTTTCAAAGTCTTCACAGACATCCCTGGTTCATTCTTTTGTAGGACAAAAATAGTCTCGTGTGTGCAGTAGAAAGATCATTGGGGTTTTACATGGATCCCTGAATAATCACAGAATAAGCTGAGTTGACAGAGACTTGGAAGGGACCCAGAGGGGCCATTGAGTCCGGCCGTTCGCCCTGCGCAGGATCATTCCCAAGAATCACACCATGTGCCCGAAAGTATTGTCCAAATGCTTCTTCAAGTCTTGTCAAGCAAAAAGAAGATAATTTTGTTCTGGTTACAGTAAAGGTCTTCTGGAAGGTGCTGGACATCTTGTTTCTTCCCTCCAATTCAGGGGGTTTTAATCAGAAAATACAATATGAACATGTCAAATTACAGTGAATGTCAGTTCAGCAATTACTATTTGAAATAATTTTAATCTCATTAAAATAGAGGAAAATGATGCTTAACAGGATTGCCAGCAATGACTCCTCTGAGAATCATACAGTAGGTTTGAACAAGAGCAAGTGTATAAGAGTACTACAAGTAACTTCAAAGAATCATTACTGTTAACATCAAGGAGCTGGATTTTATTCTAAGTGTAAAAGCTTGGTCAGAGAGAGTTAAAAAGAAAAACATCCTATGAGCTATCTCTAATTCACGTAGATATTTCTGTAGTCATGATTCAACTTTTTCTGTAATCATCTTACATTATTCTCACCAAACAATAAATTCCGTCTATTTCCAAATTGCTTCAATTATTTAAACTAGTTTCAACTCATTTTTTTAGGGCTATCTCCTTCTGCCTCAGAAACCCTGTTTTGTTTAACCTTGTATATCAGTGTGGCTGCCTAGAAATCTGGAAAAAAAACCTTCTTTATAACTTGGTGTGCAATTATTTTCCTGAGACTGGAATAACAGGTTTTAATTTTAAACATACTGTACTGTTTTGAAAACAAGTGTGTTCTGAACACTAATGATGGCACTGATAGCAACCCTTCTTATGGTCTTTAAATTAGTTGAAACTAAATTTTTTAAGTCTTTGGTTCTGGAAGCTTTGGATACTTTGTGGTATTTCGAATCACGATCAGAGTTCATTCCTATCATAGTCTTTCTAAATTATTGTCTTGTAGTATGGTATAGTTTTTGCCTCACAATAACTTTTCATTGACATAATTTGTAAGTGTTGAAAAGTAGCATATGTTTGTTGCTTGGCCTGAACATTTGACCTTGTATGGACACTTAACAGCATTATGCAAGTCCTTGCATTACACACCTGTATTGTGAAAATATTTTTTCAAATGGATGAGSAGGTGTTGTGGGGAGGATTGTTCTGTTTCTTTCTTACCAAGATTTCTTTTTGCTTATTTGTTTTTCAGATAATGGAGGACAAACTTTAGCAGGTGGGAATAACTGGCCACTGAGAGGGAGAAAATGGACCCTCTGGGAAGGAGGAGTGAGAGGTGTCGGCTTTGTTGCAAGTCCTTTGCTGAAACAAAAAGGTGTAGAGAATCATGAACTCATCCATATCTCTGACTGGCTGCCAACCCTGGTGCACCTTGCTGGAGGACAGACCAATGGCACTAAGCCTTTGGATGGCTTTGATGTTTGGAAAGCTATCAGGTAACTTGCATTTCAGATCGCTGAGTCAGCATTCTGGTATGAGAGGAATTTAATCAGCCCAGAAAACAGAACTGCAATGGGGAGAGAATTTCCTAAATTCCTGTTCCTTTCCTAAATTAAAGGGAAGGTACAAACACAGTTAACTCTGCTGTCCATGAGAGAGTTATCCAGGTTGGAGATTAATCCTGGTGACAGATACAAAGCCTCCATACAGCTTTAACCTGGTATTTTGAATTTTTCAGTATGAACACAACAGGACACAAGTATAGCATCTTTTTTCAGTAACATTCTGTGTGAACTGATTTTGCACAGCATGGAGTATAAGTTAGTAAATTTCATGTACCAAACCCTAAACTCTACAGAGCTCGGTCAGGTATCTCTGCATTGTCCACCTGGAATTGGACACTTGGGAAATGTGTGCAGACATTAAACTCACTGAACATGGATTACATCTTGATGGTTTGTTAGCTCAGTACAGGACCTGCCAGCCTAACTTAAAGTGTAACCATTTGCACAGATCCATGTTATGCTGTCCAGTGTCTCAAAAGGCTGGTGAGATCAAGTTCAAAAGTAGACCTGACCTGGTTCCTGAGAGGTTGTGATGTTGTGATTGATCCAAGCAAGCTGGAATACTCGAAAGCACAGTGCAGACATGCTTAAATGGAAAAAAGAGGCAGCATAGCTCCAGCTGGGTTATTTCAGTGTTCTTTTATTCTACTAAAATGGATTAGAAAGTCCTTAAAACGTAAGTTTCTGCAGAATTTTTAAATTCTGTGGCCAACCTTTAGTTTTGCATTGGTTTAAATTCCTTTGTTTCTTCCTTTTCAGTGCTGCATGTAATGTATTCATTGATAGGGCTAAATCCTATTGTCTGTCTTCATACAAGTTATGTTTATTCTTGTAGGTCTTAGAATGTGGTTTTAATTCACATAAGAATCATTTAGGATGAAAAGCTTAATACTGCTAAAGCAGAGTAAAGGGACTAACAATTCTATTTCCTACATGCCATTCATTTGAGGATTAGTGTTCTGTTTCTTTTGGTCGTCTTTGTTCTGTTTTTATAGAGGGCTGACTGTGCTATATTATGTGTGTTCCAACCTTTTGTCCCCTCCTCAGGAAGAAATGTAGCTGTAGCAAATGTATTTATGTAGCAGTTACAGGTTATTTTTGCACTTTTCTGCACAATGCATCAAGATAACACTGATTTTTATGTGTCTTAGTATCCTAGACTATGAATTGCAAGAGTTAAGTTCCATTCCTAAACAAGCATGAGCAGGAGTGTTAGGGATAAGAGAGGAGAAATCGAGAGTTGGAGTAGGAAGAGTTGAACCCATCCTTAGTTAGGATGGGTTAAGACTATGTAGACCTTGGAGGGAAAAGCATAAAAAAAAAAAAGAAAACCCAACCCCCCACACCTCCTCATAATAAACCCCATGTCTGGTGTACAGAATTGTTTTTTCTGTACCTGTGGCATTACCTGTTTTGAAGCTGCTGAGTTGGGTTTCATTAGTGCTGCCTGTGTTTCTGAGGGGATAAGGGGTGGTTTTCTGCAGTAGCTGGAGTTTACAGGCTTATGGCCTTGTGCCCAGGTGTGCTGTATGGCTCTCCTCCAAATGGAAGAAGATAGCGAAATGTATAATTGAAGCCAGGGATCATTAACTGCCAGGAAGGAATGGAGATTCCCATCCAGCCAGAAAAAGTAAAATGTTTTACTTGTCAGTGTTCCCGTGGGAAAAGATCCTCACCACGGTCAAGGGTACAACCTAACCACAGACTTCTACCAGTAGAATTCCTGCCTACTTCAGGTTCAGTTTCAACCACGTATTTTTTGCAATGGATTGATCTTCTTAGGTCAGGTTACTTCAGCAGGAGAGCTGTTGGGAAGGACAGATGCTGCTTGCATTTGCATTTTTCTCTTTGCCGAGGGAATAAATGCAATGTTTACTGGCGTTGCCAGGGAACAGGCGACCACCAGAGCTTTCGGGGGTGTCAAACAGAGGGCCTCTGTCTGGATGGGTAACCAGTCAGGTTTTCTAATTGTTAGGCTCTTCACTGGTTGCTCTGGCAGCCAAAATGTCAAATTTCACATGATTTTCCCGTGTAATCAGGATAAATGAGTGTATTAAATTTCATGACCATAATTCAAAAGGTCACTTGAATATTGGATAGCGAACAATGAAGGCACAATGCCCTTTTGGTGGCATCTTATGAAAAGTTCAAATATGTTTTTTTCCTGAGATCAAATGGCTCATAATGAGTGAAATTATAACTTGCTAAGATTCTAACTCGTTTGAAAAAAAGGAAATTAATAGCCAGTCGCTGTGTTAAATCTGTATTTTGTTCAGTAGAGTCTAATATAAATAGATGCATAAGCTTCTTGTGATTTTTTTTTTTTTGGAGGTGGGGGACTTTAATCCTGAGCCTGCTGTTTTTTACATTTGTAATCAAAAGGAAAAAGATCATAAATTTGGAATCTTGATTTAGATAGTCAAAAGAATATATGGGATGGTGCAGGTATTCTCAGAGGTCACAAAATATTGAATCTATTCAGTGATACCTGTCTACTAATAATCAATATTTAAAAGATGGGTTCTTAATATATTTAAGATAATATAATTACGTTGTAATAATATAAAACATGGTGATGTAATTTATAATAAATACTCTACTACTAAAAAAAACTTATACTGTAGAAATATGATTATATATACAATACACAGAAATTCAACATAAATTTTTAAATCCTAAGTATAGATTCGGAAATTTGAGACCAAACTGAACTTTCTGTTGTGACTTTAAATGACTGGTAGTCCAACCTAGGAATCACGCTAACGTGACACCAATTATATTAAGTTCTTGTAGAATAAAGAAGTGCTGACAGTCACATGTATACCCAAGTGTTCCTTTCATGCCTTGTCTACTTGGTTTTGACTTGAAGGACCAGAAGACATTTAATGGTTAGGAGGAAATAGCAGGAAAAGATGATGTTCAGGAGCACATTTCTTGTGGACCGAAATACATTCTTTTGCTTCTAATTAGCTATACTCTTATGTTTCTTCCATAGAATGTATGAAACTGAGGAAGCATCATGTTTGTGTCCTCAGTGTTTGAACACTTAGGTAAAAATTTGCATGCTACTTAAAAGATCTTTAAGAGGGAATTTAACTCAAAAGCTTCTCTGCTCCTTCCACATCCATCTGCTGACCCATTTCTGTTTCAACAATGCATCAATGACCTAATGAAAGAGGGGTGTGATTTTATTTAACATAGAAACTGAAATGAAGCAGTTTTGCTCACATTCTTACTGCCTGATAGTCTTACTCACCAAGAGGTGTGTGTGTCTCAGAAGTCTGCTCAGGTAGACACAGGAGGAGGATGTCAAGCCATCCATCCCCCTGGCACCTCGACACCAGGATGTTTGTGAACATACTGGGCCCAGCATCTGTTGCTGTGGTGCAAAGGTCCAGGGTGCCAGCTGTGGAGTCCAGGGATGCCAGGCTTCTTCTGTGTTCTTCTTCAAGTGGTCACTGCACAGGTTCTGATTATGCCTGTTGGCATGCTTTTGATGCTGCTTCTGTGTGCTATGTCACCTCAGCATGTCCCTGAGGCCATCAGTGCTTCATCTCTGGATGTCCCTGTCCAGTGGAACTGGCCTTGATGTCCCTCGATGTGCTGGGGTCTTGCTGTCATGCCAGTATGGATTGTCATTAACATTGGCTGTTACAAGAGCCCTTTCCCTGCTCTTGGGYTCATGCTGTTATCTCCAAACACAGATTTCACCGGTCTTTGTCCATCCATATCAATCTTGGACTGTTTTTCTGTGCAAAATTTTGTTGCAGCAAATAATCAAATCAGTACAATGCAATTTTTATTTTTCTATGAGTACCTTTGAAATTTAATTTGATTTCCCCTTTAATGTCTCTAACTTCTTTTTGAAAATAACTTAGCATAGTATTCCTGTGTCAACTTATTTTTGGGTAGCTATTAGATATTACCAGTCTCAAATATCAATGTCTTATAAAGGTTTATAATTAAATAATAAATAATAGAAGATTACCCTTTTGTCTTGTATTAACATGAGTAAGACTACAATATAGTCTAAAACCATGTATGTGTTAGAAATTATTTCTGAAAACGCAGTGATAATATCACTGATAAAATTTACAAAAATAGCAATTGAGAATACCAAGAAGAGTACTAAAATGCAGCCAGTCAAGGAGTCTAAATTGTACTGCCTATTTCCAAGCAAGTGTCTCAAAAGGCATTTGCATGTTTAAGAAACATCTGTTCTCCAGATGCTTCCTACTCTACTGAAATCAAGACACTAGGCAAAATAGTTTTTCTTATATAAAAATTTTCTTTGTTTGATGCATTTTTTTTGATACATCTTGATATTCAGTACTGAATATTCCAGCGTGTCCATGCTCAGAGAAAGAATTTCATTTTGCATTAACAGAAACAGGGAATGGTAGAACACATGAAGTAACATAGACAGTGAGAGATTCAGGATAAAATATGCTACGAATAACTATTATTTTGTCAAAGCTTATTAGCAAGCAGAGAGCTTAAAGTTTTTTTCATATATTTTGCATGGCAAGTTTCCTGTTTATGTTTTTATACTATTGGAGATATCAGAATTGATTGGGTGAAGTAAATGAAGTAAGATCAACTTGAATTCTTTTGTACTGAATGATTGCATTTGTTTTAGGAATCAAACACCTGTTTAAAAAATGYCATTGTTGTGATATAAACTAACACTGAAGAAAGAGCAGTCTAAAGTTGAGAGTAATGTTTATTTCTAGCATCTCTGCAATATAATTATTTTAGGAAAGCATTGCAGATAAGACCCAGAGAAATATGACAGGGCTATAAAGGCTCAGATTTTGCTTAGTGACATGGAGAATGTTTTTGTGCAGGACAAACATACTTACCCTGAAAAACCTTGGATTCCTTTCCAAGGACACCTTCTGGCTGCTTAACAACAACGAAAGAGAAAGATTGCATGTAGATCTTTGTGCTCACTAAGGAATAACAAGTCTTTCTGTATGCTTTAAGAACTTTGCAGATCAGAAGATAGAGCAATGATCTCAGCATGACCTAGCTGATTCTCGTACCAACACTGAGGTTGGGCCATACACTTTCATTAGGCTGTTCTTACATAAAGGACTGTTTTGAGAAACAGCTGCTTAATTAAATAATTAAGACATGTCCTAATTATTCTGCCATCAGACATGGTAGAATAATAACCAGATAAAATTAAAACTTCCTTATGTTTAGGATGACGTATTAGGATATTGAAGCCTAAAAATAAATATTCTAAAATTAGAGCATGGTAAGATATGGTTGCAGAGGCAGTTACTGAAATACAAAGGCAAGTTTCCCTAGAGAATTTGATTGCTTTGTTATTGTAGCTYAGTTGGCTAGACTTTATTCCTGATGCACAATATCCTTGCAGAACATCTGCCAAGGTGAATCTGTAGTCGAGTCTGTGTCTGTGTGGAGTTTTATAAAGGAGAAGGAGGACAAAGTTAAGGCACTTCCAGGAAAAGGGATCTCTGTTACAGATGTAAATTTCCAATTTGTTGTCCCCAGAATATTTTCTGTTTTCCTGATGTCTTTTGCTGTGGGAACAGATTTTTTTTTTTTTTTCAACATACAGTGCCAAGTTCTTCGGCCATTGTTTTGTGATATATGCTGGTTATAAATGTCCATGCTGTGCACAACAAGAGTTACTGGAGTAACACTGCAACTGAAAAACAGTTCTGTATCCTGGAACAGCTCTGCAGAGCTTAATGCAGCAATGCCATAAGCTTCATGGAGTATATCCCTCTCTGGCCCTGCTGCTCACACAGCACACAGTGAATACTCAGTGGCATTGTGAAAATATTGAATCTAGAAAGATGAGAAGTAATTAGGAGTAAGTTACTTAATTCTTCTGTATTTGATTCTGGTGGAAGATACTGGATTACTTAGCATAATGTTGGTTTCTTTGTTTTAAAATATACTGAAAAATGTAGATACAGTTCATAAATTGCAAGGTAGGAAAACCTTCGCAGACAGTTATTGCGGAGTCAATCACAGGCTATAAATTTCAGTCCTAGTTTAACTTTTGCTCACTGGTTCTTGTTGCTGTTACCTACGAACAGATGGTAAAAGGTGCACTTAACCACAGCTGTCAGTGGAGCATATAGAGACAGATAGACTTTATTAAATCTAAGATGAAGTTTATTTAAATAAGGCTGAGCATTCCTTAATTAAGAGTGTAACTACTATAGATACCAGGGTGTGGGGGGACAATTCGGCTTTCATTCATATTTTGAGAATAACATTTTTGTGGCAGTTTCTATACATTGAATTACTAGCACTGTATCTTAATAATTAATTGTAACGCCTCTGTATTAATTACAATAGTGTATTACCTGAACACATTTTATCTGTTAATTCYTCTTGTTAGTTCCGTACTCACTCAAAATGTAGCATCCAGAAATAGTTTTAGAAATTTAATAGAAAAGTATTATTTTATTTATTTGTTACTGAAAATTTTAAATTAGAGGTCAATATTGTTTAATTATATATTTTGTTTATTAGAATAACTGTGATTCTTTAGATTATATATTTTATGTATTAAAATAACTAACTTTTTAGGTATTCACTGAGGTTTTATGTTACCTTATTTTTTTATTCTTGATGTCAAGAAGCTTATGGGCCCTGGTTGAATTTTTGTGTGTTAAGTTAATCTTCTTAATGAAATAAAAGACAATTTAAATTATTTGGGAATTTCTTAAAGGGTGTGTTTAGGTTCACTGTCAAAAAACAAATTTTTGTTGTGTCTTCATGTAGCCAAGGTCCTTTCTAATTATGTCTTCCTACTCATGTTGCCCTTTTTAAGGGGTAAATTTCCTTCACTCAGTTTTTTAGGTCTAGGATTTACTTAGCTAAGAAAATATATGGGTGAGGTCAGAGATTTCTTCCACACCATCTCTGTGTAGTGAAGGGCTACAAAAAGACAGATGGCTTTTCTTTTTTAACACAACATGATTTGGAGTATCTAAATAGTCCTTGTGACCTCAATTAGAAATCGAAGGTGGGTTTTTTTTTTGTGGGATAGCAGTGCCTGTGGTGTTTTTAAAGGCACCCAGCCATAAAGCTTTCAGCACTTGTTCAGGTATGCAGAGTGCATAGCAAGTGCCATGCCAGCTTATGCTGTGAAATTTGATTCTTAAAGTTGATTGTTGCAAACCCCTCTTTTGATAGGGCTGGTTTTGTACTTTGTAAACTTTTGAGTAATCCAAATAAATGCCACTGAAGTTACGGAAAACTTGATGGGGGCAAAAGCTGTTGCTACTAAGCTGTAAAAGAGCATTCAGATTAAATATGATACTAATTAGTTTACAGTTGTGAGCTCACTCCCTATTAAGATGGTAACAATCCTTAAAATAAAGATGCAGAACCCTAATGAGCCATGGAAGGTAATTAACATTTCCTTTTGAAATTTCTCTTAGTGAAGGAAGACCTTCTCCCAGAGTAGAACTGCTGCATAACATAGACCCCATGTTTGTGGATAACTCCCCATGTAAGTATGGTTAAGATTTATTAAAAGTACAGTTTATCATCTGAACTGTCTTCTGTAAGTGAAGTATTTTCTTCCAGGTGAAACAAAATCTTTTAGCATGCCTTTTGCTTTTAAGTAAGTGGCTTTAAATACAGAAACATCATCCCCTGGATGCTGTAAGTACTTCAGTGTGATCAACATGAGGTTCCTATTTCAGAGAGCTCTGGAACACTGCTGAGTAATGAGTAAAGTGCTTTGGGACATGGACGTGTTGAGGAGCAGCTGTGAGCCTGAGGTGCACAGGGAGGCACAGTGCCAAGAGCCCTTTCCAAACCCTCTCCCCTGTGTTCCAAATGAACTGCTCTCCCTAATGCATCTTGATGCAGCTGTACAATATGACCTTGCAAGTGGAAAGCTTGAGTTTGAGAGAAGCTGTGAAGTTCCTAGGCTTGTGATTGCTTTTGTTCCATAATAAYGTGGGTTGGATCCTAAATGCCACAATCACATGAATTGGAGCTGAAGTTTGCTATAACTCTGTAGCTCTATAAGCACCATCTGTTTTATGATTCAACATTATTAGTTTGCTAAGGACTACAAACTTTTCAGGCAGACAGTTTTTTCATACAGCTCACTGGAACAGATCCCGTCCAGCGTTTTCGTAACATTTCTGTATTTCATTATATGAAGAAGTAAATCCAGGCAAAGAAAAGGTAGTGCAGTGGAGACAGTGATCTGTTGCCTGCAAGATGAATGCGCATTGTGCTGCAATAACTGCATGGAAGTGGGTAGGGTGGCCTTTTGCAATTTACATCTGGTCCTKCTTTTCTGAGCAGGAGCAGCACTGTGCCTGTCTATTGATGGCAGCACTGCCTGATAATTCCTGCATACTAATTGAATTAAGGTGCAGCTACTCCCATTTGCCTTCCCCATTTGCCTTCGAAAAAATGCTTAGTGAGTCATAGCATTCCTGTGCAATGTTATGCCCTGGTGAGATGTTCTCAGGCATGCTGCAGAGACCTTCTTCTCCTTGTGGGGATGGCCTGTGATTGAGCTCAGCAGAGGTGTTTGAGTAGACAATTCCTGGACTAAGCAGAATAGGGACAAGCTCAGGAACCTGAGCTCTAGGAAATACATCCCCAAATTGCTTCCATGGTGCTATGCCCTGATGATCCTTCACTGTTTGCTACATACGTCGTCATGTCCTTAGTTTTTGTGTGCATTGTGTGAAATGTGGGCAGGGAGTGGGGAGGGAGTCAGAAGCTGTAGTAGGTGGAAATCTTATGCTGGATGAGATGTGTTTTTTAAGAATCATGAGCAGAGGAAGTTGCTTGCACGCCTGTAAATCCACACTGTTTTTATGTACCTTTCAAAACTGCAGTTATTAAAAGCAAAAACTTAACTCTTCACCAGCACCTTCTTATGCACCATATAGGATTTCCCTGTCTTTTCTCAGCAAAGCTCTATTCTTTTGGCAGTTTACTTTGTGCCTCATACTGAAATTATGCTTTGTCATATAAGGATTAAAACTTCTGTTCAGCGTCCTGAATTATTAGGAGTGATTATATATGTGTGTAAATGAGATGATTTCTGCTTACTGTTTGTTTTTTATTTATTGAAACCAAGTAATAGGTTTAGAATTAACATTAGAAATATTTTCAGCAACCTTGACTCTCTTTGTGTTTTGTTGTTTTGTCTTGTTTTGTCTTGTTTTGTCTTGTTTTGTCTTATTTTGTCTTGTTTTGTTTTGTTTGCTTTGTTTAACAAAACATCTTAAACTGTCCATGCAGTGTTCTTATTACCAAAATTATAAACTGTGTCACTCTGGAGTCTTGCTCTTTCTTTAACTGTTTGATTTTTCCATGTCCTGACTGTTTTGACATTGGCATACTCTTTTGCCTATTATGCTTAAACATAYACCTGCAGGTTTTGTTGGGTTCTTTCTAAACTCCTGTATAATCTTTTCCCTTCTTTGTGCACATTTTGCTCTTGTCCTAGTCTACTTTGAAAAATCACATCACATAAATCACCTCGTGTCTGATGAAGTATTCCTATTATGCTAATGCTTTCCTTTTTGTAGAAATTTGAATTAGAAAGTGAAATAATAAATGGAAGATAAGGTTAACCAAATCTTTGGGTTTGCAGAGTACTTCAGAAGAGCAAATAGGCAATTAAATCTCAAGATTCTATTAAACATAACAAAAAGAGAACTTTTCAGTTTGTTGTGGTTATTCAGGTGAGAAAATGGTGCTGTTGTAGCTGAGCACATGTAGAACATTAAGTTACTATTTTACCTGCTTTCAGTGCAGGTTCAGTGTTCCTGAACCCTTGAGTGGTTTTGCATATAATGTATACATTCTTTCAGCATAATRTATTTTTATTTAATGGATGCATTTATCTTCATCTCTATCAGAATGAATTGATAACATATATATTTACTAGTATGAATGATGGGATGTCTCATGTAATTAAGTGTGGTTTTTAATTGAAGCAGGAAAACTGAGCTTTATTCTGTTCAGATTTTTTACACCAAAATAGGCACTCCTTCATGGAAGAATTTGTGCATGAGACATTAATTAGTTTAGTGCCAAGTCAACTGTTACAGCCAAGTTTTCAGCAGAATGTTAAGTTAAAGTAGTAAGACATAGTGTCTTGATTACAGAGGTAGCAGTGTCTTTGTTACTCTGGTCTATTAGAACTGACCTTGGGCTGTGTGTTTGCCACTTGTGGGGTAACATCATAGAACTTTTCAGCTTCTCAGACTGAGTGCTGTTTTCTGATCTCTGGACATCAACCGGGGTTGATCCAGCAGATCTGATGAATATACTGATCATTGTCTACTTTCCTTTTTTCAAGGCCTGATGTCTGGTAACATTGTAGCCCTGTGGTAGCCTTGTGTCAAAGTACTGCACACTTCTCTCCTGTTGTTAATACTAAAGAACACCAGAGGGAAAACGCTGCAAACCAGTGTGCCTGCAGTTCCATTTTACAGAAGAAAATTGCTCAGGTCTTATTTCACTGACTACTTCTAGTAAATCATCTCTCTCAGATGGCAGACTTTCTTCATTCAAATATAAACCTTTCCTGTGGTCTGATACACATGGGCAGTGTTTTAAACTGTAGTTCCTCATTTGTCATCTTTAGTGTTAGAAGAAGGTGTTCCTCTCCCTGGCTTCAGACCTTGCCTGCAGTTTCCCTCTGATCTGTGGCAGCCCAGAGGAGTGGTTGGGGTTAAAAACAAGCTTTTCTCTCAATGAACTRATCTGGTTTGTGGTGCAGACCCACAGCAATTGTACTTGTGTAASAGCAGACGTGGAATGAAAATCTAGGGTGGGATCTCCAAAACYTAGATGAGAGGAGTGGCTTGTGGGTTTTGAGGATTGCAAAGCCAGTCTGGTGGTGGGTTATTGCCAAGATGGCCAGCCTATCCTCTCCCTTTCCTCCTTCATTCTTCCTTCTCTTGAGTTAGATGTAGAAATCACATGGTGACAAGATGATGCTTCTGCCAGATCAATTTCAGACTGTTCTGGAAGCCACGCWAAAGAGGAGGAAAGGTTTCTACCACATCAGTGAGCTGAATCAACCTGCCCTGTAGCTGTATGGCTGGAGCAGGGGATCAGTGTGTGGCTGGTGGCAGATGGAGGGTCTGGCCACAGGATTCACCAGCTGAGATCAGCTCTGACCACACTGGGAACCTCAGCCAGAGGCAGTAGTTTCATGGAGTTTAAGCTGGTAGGCTCTGCTGCTACCACCGAGAATATCCTGCCCCACACAGTGCTTCACCACTGCTCCCCCTTCTCTTGGGCACCAAAACCACTCACAGAGCTGGGCTATGAACCAGGTCAGGATATTGGTTCAGATTTTCATTAGCCTTTTTTCTTCCCCCTCTGGATATATGTTGGATAGCCAAGTGCTCATTTCGGCACAAAGAATGGGACTAGAAGGAATTTTGAGGGACAGGCAGACCGATTCTTTTGGCTCTGAAATTAAATCAGGTTTCTGTTTCATGGCACAGTGTAAAGTGATCCAACAGGTTTCTGCTGGCGATGTGCTTCACTTTCTCCCCTTCCCATTCCCAGCCATGTGCTCCCAATGCCTATTTTGCATTCATTTCGGCACTGCTTGGATACCTCTGTGGACCAATCCAACTTGCTAGCCTGGTTTTCCTCTGTCATGTAGGTTGGATCTGCACATTGGAGGGGCTGATGGATGCCAGCAGCAACCCAGGGCAGGGGCAAGGAGGGTGTGTGTTTGGAAGAGGGGAGGCAGAGGGAGAAATAACCCTCCAAGTGCTGTCTGGCTGCCTCTGGAGCCACAGCCCCAGGGGGAAGGAGTGGGAAACCACATCTGCTGGTTGAACCTTGTCGTGCTAAACCAGTCTGGTGAGCTCTGCAGATGGAGCCGGACCTGTGCACCTCAGAGTGATTGTTTCTCTCTCTCGTGCTAAAACCCACCCCTTTTGTCTTTCTGGTTATTTCTTCATCACACTGTTGATTTTTTTTCAGAAATGATGAATCTATGTCTCAATTGCTTGGTCTCAGTGTAGATTTGTAGTTTATTGGGGAGCTTGCATTTATGTAAATTTGCTATGAAAAACCTACTGTCTTTCAGTTTTGGGTCTGAAACATCCACATTTTCTCTTAGCTTTAAAGATTCAGTAGTAAAATAAGAAAATGAAAAACAGAAAGCTAAAATTATGTTGAGAGTATAATTTTTCTCTGTAATGTATAGCTTAGGAAAGCATAAATAGAATGCATAAAGTAAATTAAAAGTTGCATAAGTAAAAAACCTGATTTACATGCATTTGAAGAGAAAAGAAACAAAATTGTTTCACCCCATTTTTGTGACTTTGTCTTTAAAAATAAAAAAGTAGCCAAATTGTTGATGGTTTGGCAGCTGTGCGGGTGACATCATCTCTTCCATTGTGAAAGATCTGCTTTCTTTTCAACAGTCTTATGGCATTTCATCAAGTTTTGGTGATTCAGCTAAATTAAAACCCAACTGGATTTAAGTCTCAATTCCCC